TATAGATCATTAAGTATATGTCCATATAAAGTAACAAAGAATCATATTGTTTCAAACAATTTTTAATTTAAAAAACAATCAAAATGCCATTTATGATCGGTCAAGCACCAATACGAAGAACATTAAATTATCTAAAAGCTGGTAAATTGATTTTAAAAGATGAAATACAAATATTTTCTATTAATTATAATACATATGGAGAACATCATAAAGGCGCCAGGTTATTTATTTTATTATTTTTATGAAATTATGTTTTATTTGATTTTTTTATATTTTACACATATAAAATAGATTTTATTAAAATATACTTAAAAATATAATCAATATATATATAATATATATTTATAATTAATAAATGATTTTTTATTTAGAGATTTCATATTTTGGAATTTACCACAAATTCAATATAAAAATCCAAATGTGCAAATTATCACTTTCAAAAATATGACACCAACACCTTTTATTAAATGTTATTATGGTATGTAATTTTTTTCTTTTTGAAATAAATTATTACATATCATATATTTTTTTATATAATAATTAAAAAATTTAATTTTTGTCTTTCTTTATACAATCTTGAATAATTCTATTTTTATTCATATGATTTTGAGTTTAAGATTTTCAATGTTTTTTAAATCTATGCATTATAAAATTATATGTATATATTCATATAAAAAATATTATAATATATTATGAGATAATATTAATAATTAATAATAATTTTTAAAATAATATATCAAAAAGAATACTTTTTTAATTTTTTACAGAAAATGGAAATACTATGTTAATTGATTTAGATAGTAAATCTAAAGAAGACATATTATTTCATCTTCAAAATGTAATTGGTAAAACAAAGCATATTTTGCAGCAAGAAAATGAAATGCGAGAAAAAAAAGATAATTCTGCTAATTTTGGTGTTGGTTGTCCTAGAAGTTGCATGTGTGTAATATCTGGTCAAATACCATGTCCTGCTATAGTACCCTTACCATATCACATGCGTGGAAAAAAATAAAAAAAGTTTAAAAGAACCATAATTTTGTTTGTTTATGTAATTGTATTATAATTAAAATAAAACTAATTATAGCAAAAATTTAATATCACTTTTATTTAAATTTTATATTAATATCTTTTTATTTTTAGATATTTAATTTTAATAAAAAATTATCATATTTTACATTACAATAAAATATATATTAAAGTATATATTTATTTATTATAAAAAGATATTATAGATTATGAAAATACATGTACATTAATGTACATATTAAATATTATGTTGTTAGTGAATTAAGATACTTGTGTATCTAATATGCAATTGCACCTTAGGAATCATGTTGACAGTAGAAAACGAGACTTAAAAAACTAACTAAAAAATAAGATTTTATAATAAAAAAATTGACATAATACAGAGATATTACTTAAATAGAATATATAAATAATATAAATATTCCAACTATAGTCATGGAACAAACATTGATAAATGAAATGATTACTTTTAATTGTAACACTATAAATTAAAAAAAAAAAACAATTTTTAAATTATCTTCTTGGTTTATGACGATTGTATGGCTTATTATTATGATAATAATTACTTCGATTATGATAACGAGTTGATGTGGACGGTTTTGGATTTTCTGGTTTTTGATATAAATGTATTATTGGTGATCCATTTAAAGGTTTATTTAATTCAAATTCTTCTTCTGATTCTTTCATTAATTTCAATTTTGCTTCTATAGCTTGAATTGCTGTTTCACGACTATTAAAAATTATATTATAATAATATTTAATAATAGTTATTCAAAATTATTTTTATTATTATATATTTATAATTAAAATTTACCTGATTCTTTTATCTTCTTTTTTAGCTCCAGCTAGAGCAGGTATATCTATTTTTGGCTTTGGCTTATCCATATCAGACTTAAATAAAATAAATTAATTTACTAATTTAAAAATTAAATATAATAAACAAACTTTTGTTTAATTAATATATTCAAAGAATTTAACAAAAAAAAATATTAATATTTAATATTATTTTAATTATTACCTCTGTTACACTATGAGCCCATCTGACAATAATGTTTTTTGCTCCCACTTTTAAATTATGTAAAGCATCTTTAGCTGTTTTAGCATCTTGAATAGTTTTATATGTAACAAATGCATAACCTCTAGGTTGACCAGCTTGTGGGCCTGATCGATGAAATAGAAGGTCGAACTTTTCAATTGTTCCATGTTTTTGGACGAGTTTTAGGAGTTGGTACCAGTTAACAGATAAAGAGTTAGTTTTTTCAGATTTTTTTATTACACAAAGAAATTATGTCGTTTTCTAATACTAAAGAATTATATTAGTATAATTTAATCATTAATTTGAAATAAATACTTACTCATTAATTCTTAAATCTAAATTGCCTACCCACAATCTTCTGTCTTCTACCTGATTTGATTTTATGGGTTCTAATGGCAAAGGAACTTTAGTAATTGGCTAAAAAATTAAGAAAAATTATTAAACTCATAATATATACTAAAATTATTTAATGAAATTTAAATAATCATATAACCTCTTTTGATTAAAATTAAATTTTACCTCCATAGTTATAGAGTCTAAAAAGATATTAAATTAATCAAAAAGACCTTAATTGCCCGTATTAACTTTGAAATATATTTTTGTGTAAAACTGAGCATTAGGCCTTAAATATTTATACGAAATCGTACAAATGCATTGAAATACAGAATTCACTTTACGGCAGTTTAGCAAATTGTTCGCCTTTACGGACAATAATTACAAGTGACATATCTATTATTAAAAATAATTTAAATATATTAAACGAATATATGTTGATATTTATAATACATATTTAAAACGAATTAAATTTAATAATAAATATTTTATCATAGTAAATTATTTTGTTATACTTCCGAATTTAATATAATATTTAAGATCATCTTCAATGTTTTGAATCATAATTTTATGAATGAATAAATATAAATAAAATGTAATACAAATTTATATATGCAATAATGATAATATTGTTTATGATATATGAATTAAAAAACATTTTTCTAATATAATACAAAGAGTAAACAGTTCTTTACTAATTTTAAACATGGCGTCTTTTTCATCAATTGCGAATGATGACAGTAAGAAATAACCGCAATATTGAATCACATTAAATTGTTTATTTATTTTGCATTTTGTGGAAAATATATTCCAAATGGAGAGATCGGTAACATCTGAGCAATCAGCTACTCAAATACAAACAGAAACAGATGTTACAGATTCTGCATCTCAGGTATGCTTAGTTTTATCATGATTGCGTCATTATTTTGACATAATAATTTATATTTTTTATGATATAAAAGATATAACACGAGTGTTAATAGTGTAAAGTGTTATTCTAATAATATCATTGTGTAATTTTATGGTGATTTTAGTTATTAATTTAGTGAAATGATATTTATATTTATAATTGTGAATAATAAATATTTTTTATAAAAACAACTGTTCTTTATCAAAAATATACAATGTACACATTATTTGTTTCAAAATGGATAAGGACAAAACATTTATTAAACATATATACTACAAAAAATCGAAAATATACATGTACAAATATCAAAGATGATAAATCACCTTTATCCGGAATTCGTGTTTTGGATTTAACTCGAATTATTGCCGGACCTTATTGTACCATGATTCTTGGAGATCTTGGTGCTGAGATCTTAAAAATTGAAAAACCAGATAGTGGGGATGAAGCACGAAAATGGGGTCCACCATTTTTACAAGGAACTGAAGAAGCAACTTATTTTCTTAGTGTTAATAGAAATAAAAAAAGTATATGTATCGATTTAAAGAAAGGCAAAGATATAATTTATGAGTTAGCAAAAAAATCTGATGTATTAGTAGAAAATTATGTACCAGGGAAATTGAAAAAAATGGGTTTAGGATATGAAGATATTTCGAAAATAGCACCTCATCTAATATATTGTTCTTTGACTGGTTATGGATATAAAGGACCTTATGCAAATAGACCAGGATATGATGTGATTGCTGCTTCTATAGGAGGTTTGTTACATATAACGGGTTCAAAAAATGGTCCACCATGTAAAGTTGGAATTGCAGTAACTGATTTAGCAACAGGTTTATATGCTCATGGTGCTATATTAGCTGCATTATATCAAAGAATGACAACTAAGAAAGGACAATGGATTCAATGTAATTTATTAGCAACACAAGTTGCTAGTTTAATAAATATAGGATCAAATTATTTAAATGCTAATAAAGAAGCAGTACGTTGGGGTTCAGAACATGAAAGTATTGTACCTTATGAAGCTTTTCATACAAAAGATGGTTATATGACAGTAGGAACTGGAAGTGATGCACAATTTTTAGATTTACTTAAAAGAATGCATTTAACAGAATTATCTAAAATAGATAAATACAAAAATAACAAGACTAGAGTGGAAAATAGAGATGAATTATTATCTATTCTCAGAAAAAGATTTGAAACAAAAACTAATAAAGAATGGACAATTGTTTTTGAAGGTGCTTCATTCCCATATGGTCCAATAAATACAATAAAACAGGTACAAAATTATAAATGTTAATGTTAAATGGTTTAAAAATAGTCTTTATACAAAAATTTTTATAGGTTTTTGAAGATCCTCATATAAACTATATGAAAATAGTACAAGAAATGGAACATTCTACAGGAAAAAGAATTAAAGTTGTTGGTCCTGCTGTAACTTATAGTTATTCTACAAATAAAGTTCGATTTGCACCTCCTGTAATGGGTCAACATACTACAGAAATATTAAAAAATATTTTAAACTATACCGATGATAAAATAGAAGCTTTAAAAAAAGTCAAGATTGTGCAATAAAAAAGTGGCTATTATTTAAAGGAGATATAAAAAAAATTTTAAATTCTAATATTTAATATAATAATTTAATAATATAATATATAATATAATAATAATATAATATAATAACATAATAATATAATAATTTTTGAATTTTTAAATATAAACTTTAATATTATTATATATTTTTAATGTAATTATATATTAACTTTTTAACATAAAGAAATATATTCATTTAAAACAAGTAATCTTCTGAAATATATTTATCTACATTTTTATTATAAATTTACAATTTATCATGTATATCATATAAATATCGTATAAATATAAAAGAAAATATTTTACGTAGTTTTATTTTTTTAGGATGTACCTACTGTTCGATTATGTCTTAGAAAACCAAGATCAAATAAAAAGGTTCAGTGGACTCAGGGTACTGTAGATAATGAACATATGAATAAAAAGAAATCTAAATGTAAATATTTATTTCATTCAATTTATCATAGCATAATATACAAAATACAAACAAAAAATAATTATATTTATGTACAAATGTATAATTTATATGTTATTACAGGTTGTTGTATTTATGAAAAACCAAGAAGTTTTTGTGAAAGTAGTTCTGAAGATAGCGATGATGAATGTGAACATTGTCATGGTCATAAAGATGCTCATAAAAAAAATTCTACAACGTAATGCAGAAACATCTAAAGAAGAAATATCTCCAGTTCCAGGTAATTTTATTGAATAAAATTATATCAAAAATGCATATATAAATTAAATAATATAAAAAAAGTTTAAAAATTTTATTAAAATTTTTTATATATTTTTTATAGAATCAATGGTAAATGTATCTACATAAATATGTTAATAATATAAATAATATCTTTAAATGGAAAAAAAAATTTGAATCAATGCTGTAGAAAAGAAATGTGAAAATTAGGTATGTGATTTTAAATATAATTTCTTATGAAATTAGATATAATAATATATTAATATGTATTTTGTAGGAAATTTGAAATATTAAGAAATCAATTTTTAGCATAATTTTATTATTATTATTATTATTATTATTACTACTACTATTAACATTCATATTTTTTAATAAATATTGCAAGTTACACTTGTAATACTTATATTATTAATAAGTGATTAAAGTATATTATTATTGAAAGTAAAGGAAAAAAGAAAATAGATTTTTATTCATTATATCATTAATTGATGTTACATGATTCAATATTTATATAATATATAGTCAAAAATTTATTAATGATAGCTAATGATTTTTAAATAATTTAAAAATAAAAATATATACATTTTTTCATTGAAATAGAATTAATATATAGTTTTATAGAATTAATTATAGTTCCTATATCACAAAGTATAAAAACATGTATATTATCTTATAGCTTTTTAATAATTATTCTAAAACAAATTACAAAAATATTGTAAGTATTAAAGTTTATTATAAATTTAAAACTCTTAACGAAATAATTACATATAACTTTAAATATAAATTTCTTAACGATTCATTTTAACGATTCTTAATTATCTTTTATTACATATATATCTCTTGTTATAATATAATATTTAAGTAATTATATATGTTAAAATTTGTAACATAGAAAATAATTCTTTTTTTAATTAGCTTTTTTTTTCTTATATAATATTTTTATTAATATAATTTTTTTTCAAATGATAATCTTTGTTTAAAATATTATATTTCATTTTAATTGAAAGTAAATTTTCTTATTCAAAATATATTAATTACAAATAATTATTTATATAGTTCTGATGATACATTATTTGTATATACATATATAGAATAATTAAAAATTTTTAATTTTTTGTCTTCTTTTTTTATTTGAATAAAATTATAAAACATTATTTTAATTTTACATTTTTATTTTAATGAGAATTATTTCAGCAATTGCTAATTATATATATTAAACATTTGTGTACCATCAAAACTTATTCTAAATTAATTTAAAAATATCAGTCAGAAAATATTATCTTATTATCTAAACATAAAATATTGTCAATTAAATTTGTTATAAAAATTTAGAAGAGATTTATTCTTAAATATTTAAAAATGTACAACTTATTTTCGAAAGAAAATAATTTATCTTTAAGTACATGTAAAATGACAAAAAAATGAATAAAATTATGTGAAAATTTTTGAATTATAAAAAAATTATATAAATATTCAAATTCTAATAAATATCATTATACAGCAGAATCATTCTTTTTTTACTTAAGGATAGTACTCTATAAATAAAATATATGTAACATTTGTGTTAATTATTAATATCTATAGATAATTATAAATATCTATAGATTATATTTATAAATGTATAACCATATATATTCTATTATTAAATTCTATTTAATTAAAAATAGAATTTATGAATTCATATATTAATATATTACACATTTAAATAGAAGGTTAAATAAAGTAATTTAATATATTTTTCAAGATTTTAAATAGAAATTTAAATTGGAAATTTAATAGTCTTTAGTCAATCAATATTACAACTACTTTTTCGAAATTTTCGCCTATTACGTACTTCCATACCTCTACGGAAGGAATCTTCATTTAATCCTAATGAACGAACTACAGCTCGACTACGCCAAACTTTAACAGTAAAGTCATCACTAGTTGTGACTAACATTTCAGGATCACATGGATTGAAAGCAACAGAATTAACAACATCAGAATGAGGAAATTTAGCTAAACATACTCCATAATGTCTGTCCCAAAGATAACCATGTTTGTCTTCAGCTCCACTGATAATAATTTTAATCTTAGAAAATTAAAATGAGACAATTATTTATATAAAATTAATTGATTAAATTTACCTGGCTACATATTCATTGCATACATCAAGAAAAATAAAGAAGCATTCATTATTTGGTGTATATGCCTTATGAGCTCTTAGCATGGTACCAACTTGCTTTAATGTTACTAAATCAATAACATGTATATCAATTTCTTGAGCTATCGGCGGAGGTTGTAATGGATTTGTAATAACGTAACCTCGGGGCCATGGTCTTGTATTTACATACAAATATCTAATAATAAACATATATATATATAATGTTTATAATAAAAAGTAAAAATATAAATTTATATTTATAGTATAAAAAAAATATGACCAACCTATGGTCTGGAGATAGTCCCATCCCTATAATATGTCCATGCAAATCAATTAAGTGATCTACTTTATCAAATTGATCAGCTACAGATTCATAATCCAACCAATTAGTAATAAATGCATAAGAATTTTGTCTTTCTCGTTCTCTTTCTCTTTGTTCTATTCTTTCACGTAATGATGGCCCTGGATCTAATCGTGCAGGGAATTTTACATTTTTTATTCTCTTGAAACCCACCTGATGCGGTGTATAAGTTTTTGATCCAGTTGTAAAAATAAGATATTTTTCACAATTATTTGATAATTCATCTTCACTTTCTTTTATATCTGATGATTCTGCATTTAAAATTTTATATTTGTACAGTAAGAATATAATAATAATTATAATAAATTATAATAAATTTCACTTACTTCCAGATTTATTCCACAAAGAATTCTCATTTTTTTTGTCATTTTCTTGCACTTTTTTTTCCATTTCTACTTGTCTATATTCCTGATTATATTGTATAGGATTAGCATATTCAAAACCATCACCAAGTTTCTTCCAATTCATAAATCCACCTTCCAATGTACTATATCTATTTGTATATGCTTGAGTTAATTATATCAATTGTTTTCAATAATATTTTAAATTGAATAAAATATATATAAATAGGAAATGTATTTTGCTTAATTAACTTACTGTAATCTGGATGATGCATGACGAAGAACAACAGGTTCTTCTTGTAAAGTGTCATTAGAAGATGCAGATGAAATATCTTTATGACTTGGTGGATTTCCTTTTTCTTCTTTAATATTAGAAGATGAAGGTTGATTTTGTTGTTCCTCAGATTCATTTTGTTCAGATGTCAAACAGTTAGCTATCATTATTGCTCGAAGTGATGATGCATTACCATTGTAAAATCTAAAATATACAAAATAATCATATTTAATTATTAATATTATTAATATATTTATGAATGCAAAATTGTTTTTATGATATTAAAAATTACTTGTCACATAAAATACCTAAATAACTGTGTCATAATAGGTACATGTTCACTAGATGTCTCTTGATTTGCTTTATTAAGCCATAAGAGACTAGTACTAACTAAGTGTGCCAACCAACATAAATTTCCACTTATAAGGTAATGTTCACTATACCATGTACCAAATATATCATAAGGTTTATTTATTACTCTACATTGAAGATCAAATCCAGCTGTAACAAAAAGAAATTAAATAACAACTGATAATACATTCTTTTTATTATTAATTTTAAAATGTTTAATTAAAATATATAAAATATTAATTAAATTCATTCATATATTCTTACGTGCTAATCTAAATACTGCTATTTCACCCGAAGTACTAAGAGGAGTTCCAAAATGTACACCAGAAACAAGTAGTAAAGTATCAGAAGAATTAAATTGTGAAAATTGTGTATATTTCCAACTAAATGTTTTCATATCATGAAGATATTTTATACTAACAGGATATTGACTTTCCCAAACCTATAATAAATTTCATAAATTATAAATTAATTAGTATTATTAAACATAAAATAATAAAAATTAAATAATTATAAAATAGAAATAACTCACAAAAATATATCCATCTTTTGAACAAGTAGCAAACATTTTTCCATTGTGTGAAAAACTAACATGTAAAACTTGATGGGAATGTTCTTTAAGTACTTCTGTTTCTAAAAGTGGTGTATGATATGTTAAACGTTTAAATTCGCCTAACCATGAAGTTTTTCCTAAAATATAGTAACATATAATTAAATATAAAATAAAAAAAATATAAATGGATATTAATATCAATAGTGATTTTTAATTACATGCATAGTGCGTATTAGTTTTATTTTTAATGATATGAAGATTGTGTTCTCTTTGCAATGTTGAATATTTATAAATATATAAAGTTAACCTGGCATAATGCCGATGTCCGGGTCTATTTTGTATGTTTGATAGAACAGATCTTTCCAAAGAAATTCATCATGCGATACTCTATACCATGATTTACATACTTCTCCTGCAATTGTCAACTCCTTTGGCGTTAAATATTGAAAAATATTCAAAAGAATGGAATCCGGCATATAATACCAATTTTCATTCCCTTCACATATCTCAAATAAACAATTGCTCTTTTCTTCTGACATACGTGTATTTTCTTTATTGTTTTCTTGATTTTTCGTAACATTTTCAACGATATCCATATCGAAATGCCGTTCTTTATTTACTAGAACAGCTGATACTTCAGTAACGCTGTTGTAATATAAGCACTTTTGAGAACGTACGAGACCGAGATCGAAAATGATTAATCGCCGGACATTTGCAAATAATAAATGCAATGTAAACTGGCACAATTAAAAAGCGTTGCAATCGTCTATAAAATTAAACTCTTTGATTGCATCTAACATTCTACGACTAACGATAGATAAGATAATTTGTATTGCCAAAAATAGTAATAGATTCCGTAGTTGTTTTCTTTTTAAAAGCTACAAAGATCTATATTTTGTACACATACCAATGTAGATATCATGTATGCGTGCGCACCATTTGCAATTTATATATATATATATATATATATATATATATTATATTATTGTCATACACATACACGCACGCGCGCGCACACGCACAAAGCATACGCAAATATATATATAAAAGTACTACTTTCTATACTAGGCATAAATAAATATAATTAATTATAATTGTAACTCATATTTTCATTGAATTCATTAACTAAAATAAAAAAAAGGCAATTTTATTCTTATATAAAGCACGATTCGTGAAAAAAAAATTACATTTATATTAAATTTATATTAAAATTTGCTATTAAATTAAATTATTCATAAATTATATTCATATTATAATCTTTTATATTAATTAATTTTAATGATATATAAATATTATATATATTTATGTAAATAATGATAAATGAGATAATAAATATTTCTTAAATCATTTAAATCACACATTGACATTTTATCAAAAATATTTTATTAAAAAAAAATTATATAATTTTTTGTTTTATGTATATCTCTAATCTTTATATTTCTTTTTATTTGTTTGCACTTTTACCACATTTACTTCACACAGTCTTTTTTATGTCATAAACATAACAGTATAATATAATATTTATAAGGAAAATTTCATTACGGAAGGCATGTAAAAAAGTATTTTCATAATTGATACAAAAAAGTTCATCACTTATATCGAATTCACAAGTATATATCCTTGCTATAAATCTCATGTAATATCCACACGATGTATACACATTGTATCTGTAAATGGATATAGAGAAAGAATGCAATTTATGTAGAATTACTTGCTTGAGAAATTAGTTGATTTTCCATTTGCATATAAAATTGTTCACCAAACCACTCTCTATGCATTTCTAAATAACTATAAAAATTTAATTTTTATTAGTTACAAAAAAAAACAAAAAATATTTAAAAAATAAAAAAAAATATTACCTAAGAAACATATCCAAATATTTTAAAAGAACCTTCAATTTTTTATGTGGTATATCCGTTAACTGCAGCAAGTCTGGTAATTTAACTAATAGAAATTATATGATTTTATTTACAATTATAAATATTTAATAATAATATATTTGTTAAAATATTTGATAATAATTATTTTTACATACCAATAATCGCGTTAAATGAATGGCACCATAATAGGTAGAAGGATTTGGAGGACCTTCTGATTTTGATGATTCTGGCATTAATCTCCATTTGTTTGATTGTTGAAGTAAAGCGTTGACTTGCGCAGATGTAACAACAGGTATTCTCAATGTTACACCACGTGGGCTAGAACAACGAGAACTTGTACTTGCAATACTAAAAAAAAAAATCTTATCAATTTTATAATTATTAATAATGTTAAAATGATTTGCTGCATTAAAAATTTAATTCACCTCGATAAATTTCCTGTATCTTGTTTAATTTCTTCATATGATCTCAATTGCCTATTTTCATCAATAGAACTCACTCTGTATGATCTCAATCTTCGCTTTGAATTTGTTATTGTTTTCGAAGTATCTATTTCTTGATCATGTTCTTGAAAAGGTGGTAAATGAGCATACTCAGTATCTTCATATTCTTCTTTAACTAATACTTCTGAATTCCTTAAAAATTACAATTACATTAATAATTAAAATATAAAAACAAACTATTAACTGTATTAATTAATTTATTTTAATAAACTTATAAGTAAACATTTTATTTTATTCTAAAAATATTTTAAATTATAAAATACATAAAACATTTAATTATAAAATTAAAAATTTTCAATAAATAAATAATAAGTATTAAAATTTACTCAATTGGTTCTTCTTTGACAAGAGTTGGATGTTCACCATATAAAAAAGAAGATTTTAAATTACAATATTGTTCTTGTTCTTGTCTATATAAAAGAAGATCATGTAATGTAAAATCGAAATATATACGCAATCCATCAGCGACTTCTCTACATATGTTTATTTCGTTAATTGTTTTTTCTATTGTATTATTTGCTTTGTTTCTTTGCGGTTTTTCAGGAATGTTTGTTAATTGTGTTGTCGTAAAGTGTTGAACCCACGATTCTAAGATATTTGCAACAGTAGGTTGTGCAGGAAGAACTGCTAGCTAAAATTCATATTAATTTTTATTACTTTCAAATTTTAAATTATAATTTTAGATACTTTTTTGATTATAATTGTGTATATTATAATTTTAAAAAATGATAATAATACCTTAGTTTTATTAGTTATAAGATCATAATCTTGGTCCAAAATTCTTCTTAAAGTAGTACCTATATCAAGATCAATTCCTGGCTTTATACTGGCACCAGATTGACTACCACCACCACTATCTTCGTCATCACTTGTTTCACCAACATAATCTGAACTACTTTCTGTATCTTCTTCAGTAATAACTTCCTTTAATAACAAAATGACAAATATTTTGATTAAATATAAATAAATTTATTATATATTAATATATATAAAATATATATACAATAGAAATAATACTTCAGTATCATAATCAGCATGCTGTCCTGAACTACCATCTTCTGATGATCCAGTTGTTGCTGATGTTGCTCTACTACCACCACTTCTTGCTCTTCTTCTCGGTTCTTGATTTTCAGTTTCGTTTAAACGTTCAGATAATTTATGACTTCTTTTCTTACGTTCTCTCCGATATAAATATGCTCCCCTGTTTATTATTTTTATTAAATGAAATTTTTTTATATTAAATTATTTCTTATATTAAATTTTATTTTATATACATACAATTGTAACTGTGCTTTTTGTGCTAAATCTCGTTGAAGTTGACGATTTTCTTCCGTATCTTTTAATACATATTCTTCTGTTACACAACGATCCCATGAAGAATTCCATCCCTATCATTATATGTATTTTATTAAACATCAATGTCAAAAACAAGATAACACTTATTATTTACCTGGAAATGTATTAAATATTCAACAGCTTTACGTCCTCTTTGATCTTTATTAACTATAACATCAAGTACCTATAATGATATATATGTAATAATAAAGAATGAAAATTTTATTTGTCTTTTATATTATATTTTTTATTTTTTATAATATACCTTTGAGTCATATAATACTTTTGCTTTTGTAGGATCAGGTTCATAACAAAGAACTTTTTCACCATCACAAAATTTAAATTTTGGTCCTCGAGTAGAAACCATTCCTTACTATTAAATATTAGAGCAAAATCACGAATTTATTTCGTAAATGATCGTAGAATAACGGGATAACAAAATTGTTTAGATTAACATAACCTTACATTGTATTTAAATAAAAAATAATCAATAATTATAACGAAAAGTTCTACATAATCTCTCAAAACTTTTTATTTAAATTTATTAATAATCATTGAATATATTAAATTCCTATATAATGCGTTAATAATATTGTATGAGCAGAAATTTAAGTCTCCCGGTTTCAGAATCGTTTACTGAATTGAATTAGTTTATACACACCAGATACAACTAACCTCATTTGATAAACTATTTATATCAATAATAAATATAAAGCACCATTCAAAATATGTTCTTTGATTTGTATTAATAATAATAATATAATATACACATTTATAAATGAAAAGTTTATATATTAATATTCCATGAAAACTCGCCATAAATATCGATATCATATTTTTTTATTTTATTTTACATTAATTAATAATTAACATATTTTCTTTTTAAGTTTATAATTTTCAATAAATATGAATTTATAAAATTATTCTGTAATATAATAAATTTATATTACATTTGACAAATTAATAATTAATTTTTTTCCATATGTATAAAAACGAAAAATTATAAAAATTAATAATTAACATTTATTAAAAATTACTTCTATATCGATATATACTGTACTTACAGTAGATAAAATTTATATTTGTATAATAAAGTTCATTTATCGATTAAATTAATACTTACCGTCTTATTAGTTGATTATTACTTACTTATAAATTTTTCTACTAGAGGGAACTTTAAGTGAATATAAAGTGGGGCAAAATTGTACAAATTGTATATACACACCTACCAGTTTCATAGATCCATTCGTTAATATTGTTTGCTTGAAACGTGTTGCGTGTTATTTTTTTTTGTTATTTATACATGTATTCGGATTTGGTGAAAAAAGATCTCAAGATTTTTATTTTCTAGTGTTCAAGGACAAAAAAGTTTAAATTTATATGCAATAAATAAAGGAAATTAATAATAATTGAGTGTAG